ATAAGAATGAAAAGAACAGGAATTTGCTCTTGTTTTGGTAAAAAAAAAATCGAAAAATTGGAAGGGCTACTACGCGTTCAAAGAACCGCCGCACATCTGTTACAAATGCTGGCGGCGGGGATGCTTCCACTTGGTTCTTGGACCTGCTTCATTGCTTTCACATCTTACTCCTCTACTCCATCCTATTCCATTGATCGATTTGCTCTACTCTCCAAAGTCGCGCCCCGATTAATCCGATTCTTTCATTGCGTCGCCTGATACGTAGGACGGATCGGTAGGCCATTTGTCCATGCTCGCTTTGGTCCGCCCGAAGTTATACGATTGTCCATAGTGTATTTTTTGTACGTTTTTTTCTCTTCGGAAACTGAATCTTCATGTTTGAAACTTTGTATGCTTTTTCCAGTGGTCACAACTGACCTGTTCATGTCAAGAAGGAATGCGAGGATTTCGGCGGAAAGGATTCCTTCAACACGTTAACGACATCGCGCGTTTTGTGCTTTTGCACCTCTCGTGGGACAAGAGCGAAAGTCAAAGAATGATCATTAATGACGAGTCCTGTCAAACGAGCAAACGAGAAACGGAGCAAAAAACGTCAAACTAGTCACTAGAAATGGCGTACTATGACAACACCTCTTCTTTATTTATTTCCTCCACAAGACTTACCAAATTCTAGTACTACACAGAGTATGGCTCTCAATACACGTCCCCCTTTCAGTTGAAAGAAGCTTGTAACCGCCTTAGCCAGCTGTGTGCTGACTGATCTTTGGCGTTGACCGTGGAGCAGCTTATTTACTATTGAAATTTGAACAAATATTCAAATGATTATAACTTTCTTCAAATATGACGAATTTTCATAATCTCGTACTTAAATTGCAAAAATTTATGAGAAATAACAAATTTAGATCAATTAACGAGGAAAATTCATGGTGAGCACGAGTTTTTACACTTTCCGAACCCATAACTTGCTTCATTTTCGTCAAATCCGAAAAGTTAATATGTCAGACAAAACTAGAAGATTTTCTCTATCAAATGGTTGCTAAAGCAGCTTTATATGTCCAGTACCTAAAAAATGGCCACGTTGAGGATTTTTGCCGAGTACCGCGAAAGGTACTTTTTCGCTGCATTAGCACTATTCCAACGACTATAGCTCCTTTCAGGGGCGATTACATACTAAAGTGGGAGCAGATTCGAAATCCTCGTGCTTTTCTCTTTCCAAAACGTGTAAAACTGTTCAGCGTGTCTCAACTTTGACGATTACATGCTTGTGAATTTGACGCTTAAGGCTACGTTTCTTGTTGAATGGGCATCTCCTTTGAGTTGTAAATCCGCAATACTTAGATGCGATGAAATGTTTTCAATGATGTTCGATCTGTCTAGCTTATCAGGAGTTACAGTAATGGAAGTTTGACCGAAATGACGTGTTAAGGCCATGAAAAGGGAAATTTTACTTAATTTCCCTTTAGTGGTTCCAAAATTAATTTGGACGTGGTTGTTTCAGTAAAACACATATCTTCCCATACGAATAGGTTTGTATTCGCTTCTATTATTCCTTTTTATCAACATGTTTACGTTATTGAAAAGAAAACGAGGAATGAACTGAACAGACATATCCGTAAGGTCTGGAAAACCTCTGCCAAACTAAAGAATATTTGGCCTTTCTGTGAGCCATGTGGTTTTTAAGTATGCTAATGTATGACCTATAGAATGAGTACAAAGACCTTAGGAATAAGTCGCACAAGCGCAAGAAAAAGGGATGACTTGGGTGGGACGCGTTACCGCGTCACAATGTCCCACGAGGTGCGCAAAGTGGGACGCGTTACCGCGTCACGCTGTCGTCAACGTGTTAAAGGGCACAGACTGATTCTACAAGGCGGTATAGGCAGCAGGGTCAAGCGAGGCGTCGAGGAAAATTTGGAAATACGACCCCCCCCCCCTCCCTCCGCCAGAGGCCGAAGTCCATGAAACGACCCTCTTCAAAAGCCGAACTATGAAAAAGTTGTTTAATTCTCCACCAAAACTGTTCATAAAAAAGCCCTGCTACCCCACCGTCCACCGAAAAATTCGTTTAAGAAGTACAAAAGTGAAAAAGTCAAAGAATAATCATTATTGATGAGTCCTACCAAACGAGCAAACGAGAAACGGAGCAAAAACGACAAACTAGTCACTAAAAATGGCATACTATGACAACATCTCTTCTTTATTTATTTCCTTCGCAAGACTTTACCAAATTTTAGTACTACACAGAGTATGCTCTCAATCTACACCTCCCCCTTTCAGTTGAAAGAAGCTTGTACCCGCCTTAGCCAGCTGTGTGCTGACTGATCTTTGGCGTTGACCGTGGAGCAGCTTATTTACTATTGAAATTTGAACAAATATTCAAATGATTATAACTTTCTTCAAATATGACGAATTTTCAATCTGAAAGCAGATTTGGAAGTTTTGTGAAGAGCTCTTTCTAATCAGTACTTGAAATTACAAAAATTTATAAGAAATAACAAATTTAGATCAATTAACGAGGAAAATTCGATGAGCACGAGTTTTTACACTTTCCGAAGCAATAACTTGCTTCATTTCCGTCAAATTCAAAAAGTTGATACGTCATACAAAACTAGAAGATTTTCTCTATCAAACGGTTGCTAAAGCAGCTTCATACGTCCAGTACTTAAAAAATGGCCACGTTGAGGATTTTTGCCCGAGTACCGCCGAAAGGTACTTTTTCGCTGCATTAGCACTATTCCAACGACTATAGCTCCTTTCAGGGGCGATTACATACTAAAGTAGGAGCAGATTCGAAATCCTCGTGCTTTTCTCTCTTCAAAAAGTGTAAAACTGTTCAGCGTGTCTCAACTTTGACGATTACATGCTTGTGAATTTGACGCTGAAGGCTGCGTTTCTTGTTGAATGGTACTCCTCCCTGTAATTTCACATGAACCCTTTCAGAATCCTCTTGATTCTTCCTGAATTGAGATTCTTTCTCCAGAGAGCCGTAGTTGAAGCGCGCGCAACCAACTGGGCCCACTCTGGGATGCGCCGTGTGCTTCACATCCCTTCAGATTTGAGGACTACTTGAAAGAAAATATCCCTTGGAAAACGTGCGAATTTCGGATTCTTTAACTTGTGTGGTGATAAAACACTGAAGTAACTAAGAATTGCTAAGCGGACACCTCTAAATCACGAAGATTTTGTGTGGGCGGAATCAATTGTTATTGGAAATACTCTGGCATCGACTCGATCCTTGATGTTTGTCCTCCGACGATGATCCTACTGCATCAATCGGGCCCGATCTCTTCCCCAGCGGGCCAATACGACCCCCCCCCCTGTGACATGTCGAGGATTCCTCAACGCACGCTTGACCCTGATAAGCAGAGACAGGGGTTTTGCTAATGAGAAACGCTAGTATTCACTAGCATTAAGTGGCAAACGAAAACCATAGAGTGCTTTTGTTCAGAACTTACTTAGAGTCTTGTACCATCCCTTGGGCGAATCGTAGCAAATATTCTACGCAGGTTACAATGTTTCTACTACGCTCTTTCCAGGTAGTTCTTTATGTACAGGAAGAAATGAAAACAGCAACAAACGAACAGCAGTGGTGGTACACGATGAAATATCTGAGAGCAAGGTCAAGGTCTCGCAGAAAGCACCTCTAAGGGACGATCCGTCAAAAATTTGGTAAGATTCATCACATGGTTAACATTCATGCACTACTAGCACCGAAAGAAAATGCAATTTGCACCGAATTACAACGTTTCAAATATTATGGCAAAAATCTCTGCAGAACGCTTAGATCACTATGGGAGCGACAGAACATCAAATGATATATGTTCGGCACTTTTGTCATTGCTGTCGAATGTCATCTCCTCGATGTGATGTGTCCTTCGGAGCCCTCTTTTAGGGTTCGTCTGCTTGCTGCCTGCGTCTTCTTTCACAGGGCTACACAGCACGTACCTGCAAATTTTGTCAATTAGGTATTCCTTGTATTAGCAATATTAGTCGGAATCCTTAAAAGCGTTGTTTACGATTAGAAGGCAACTCATTAAAACTAGGGAAGAGGTGGTCAGTGGTAAAAACCATGAGAAACGGCCCAGAACCCGAGAAATGGGACCCCTTCCTTGCCCGTTGATTTCCGCATTGATGCGACTCTCATCGTGCTGCCCTCTTCAACGCTAACGCTCTCTCTGCTAAACGGCTAGAGACCTGCGGCGAGTGGTTAGCCAGTCGGTGGGCGTGCCGCGCCGATAGCGCCGCGGGAGGAGACATTCTAGATCGCCGGAGCATACCCTTGGGGAAATGCGTGGCGATCCGCATTGTTGGGGGTCCCCCTGTCTAACCACCAGGTAAGATTCCCTTCTTCGAACTTCGACCAAAGTGAGCTCAGAAATCCAACGAATAATGACATAAACTTTTTCACTAGCGGAAAATAGAGGAATTTCAAACTGATTTCGTAGACTACAAACTGTATAATGAATACTTTGAACTCGAGAAACCCGCTGCTAACGTGCACACTATTCCTTGAAACGGTAGATGCGCAGCATTGTCAGTACGGCATTGCTAAATGCGAATAATTTTACGCAAAGAATAGCCGGCAATGGACGCAATGTACATTACGAAGATGGCTTCGAGGCAGTAAGGCGATAAAACCTTACAAATGGTTCGTCGCGACAGTTGAATGTTCGAAGAAGCAGAGCGAGAGACCTAGGCAGTACGCTAACTATATGCTATAGTTATGCATAGTGGTCAGGTGCGGTTTGCGGAAGGAAACAAGTTCCCGTTTGCAAGGCTCTCGGTTACTTCCTAGAACAGCTTCTCCTACTGAAGTATACACCCAGTACTGGCTGTTTTGTAATTAGCATCCGTATACGATTTGCTAAAGGAAAATCCCCAAGAATATCGAAGCTGAGGTAGATTTGCTTTGGCCATGAACATCGTGTACCACTCACCATGCGCGACACTCGGTGGAGGAAATTCAAGAGAGAAAATTTGAGCAACATACACAATATCGCCAGCTTCGAGCTGCAATTCCGCTGTAGGATTGATTATGACGAAGGAAATCCTGTTACTGCTCTCCACGACATCCGTGCAGTCAAGAGCTGAAAATTTTCGAGTGATTGAAAAAATCAGTGTTTATTTACATACTCTGAGCTGTAAGTCTAACTTACCTAAATCAATCCTCATTCATCTACTATATTGAAATGGGCCTACATCTTACACCTACAGTCTTCAACCATCCATCCTGAGAGAAACCTACCCTACAAAAGATATTCGAACGAGTAACCGCGTGCCTATAAAGCACAGAATTCACATGGCGGGGCATCTTCATTTCACTTCCCTAATTGTCGCGGATGCGACGGTGGCCCGTGGGCGCACCGCGCGCCCCGGCCCATTCATGCTCGGATGCCAATGCGCAATGCGCCGCGCAATGCGCCCATTGCGTCATTGGCTCCGCCCTCTACGGTCAGTGCCAGCGGGCAGTCGTCGTCTGTGCCTTACGGCGAGCGGTGACCTGCCTTGCCTCGGACGTCCCCTATGTCTACCTAGCTGTCAGGTGAGTGTATGACATGGCGTTGAGCCACCTAGCAGTTGAGGTGCTAATGTTGAAGTGTCTAATACGTGTCCCAATGCTGGTATCCAGGGGTTGGTCGGTGTTCACCGGGCAACGCGAGGAGGCCCCGGAAGGCGAGGAGGGATGTCCCCTCCGAGCTGGAAGGTTGCGGAGCGCCACCCGTTAACTGGTCGTGGTCCCTCCCCTGCTCCCCGTCTGGGAGCAGCCTGGTATCACGCCCCGTCTCGGACCCGCTGACCGTGCGGGCCCCCTAGAAGTGTAACATCCGAGCAAATGGGGGTTTAATACGTTAGCCAGCTGGTGAGGCACACCCATGAGTGAGGTGACTCAGGGAGTCTGACGAGCAATGGTATACATATTACGTATATAATAAACGTATTAGTAAATATATGTGTTGTGTTTGTATAATGTTGTGGTTTTACCCTAACTCTGTACGTGTAGCCGTGGGCATTGTGTACTAAGGTTATGGGTCAGGACGCGTTGTGCCCAGCCAGTGTAGTTCCGCGTGTGCGGCCGGCTGGAAGTCCCCTTAGTCCCCGGGGGAATGGTCCGCACCTCCTGTGAGGTGCGCAGGAGAGGCGTAGCTACAGATGGGAAGCCTTGGCGAGCTGCTGAGGTACTGGGAGGTTGCCCACCGCGTATGCGACACTTATGCTTTTTAGGCCGCTTCTCCGTTAATGTCAGACTATAAATCACCATAAAACATAAGTCTTCCAGGAATCTTTAATGAATCGTAGAATACTGAAGGCAGGTGAAGATTAATGGATTTGCATCGTGGAATTTGGCCATGCCGCTGTATAATGCGAGGCAAGCAACCCGCCCTTTTTCGCGTTTCTGCTGGGGCCGTATGCTGAATGTTGGAGAGGGGATGGGGTCCCGAGGTCGACGGACTACTTGAACTCGGTCGGTACGGTAGGAGAGTAATGACGCAAGTGGTGCAGCTGGTCCAGCAGCTCTCTGCCAAACGGCTGGTTTGCTTACCCCAGGACTAAGCCTTGCAGAGGGACGAACCTGCACGCGCTCCATCCTCTCTTAAAGGATTAGCCTGAGTATGCATGCAAAATTGAGGGGTTTAGAGACCTGAGTTGAATGGTTCGCCGTCAACCGCGGGAACCATCCCCTCCGCAACATAATTCGCATACGGCCCCGCCAGAAACACTAGAAGGGCTGGTTTGCTTACTTTGAATAATGCCCCAGTGGCGAAAAAAAGCAAAGAAATCCGTCAAGAACGCGCAAAATGGACCCCCTTTCTTTGCCCGTTGACCTCCGATAATGGACGAGCTAGCAACCGAAAGAGGTCTTTTGCACATGTTAAACCGATAGCCACCATCATACTAGCAAAGGCCATGCTTTGATTGGTAACGCGTTCCATGGGAATGTTATAGGATACGCACTCAAAGCGGATACCCATCAAAATGATAATCGAAGGGAGCTACTGCTAGCGCAGGCACAGTAGGCGTGCGCAGCTCAGAAGGAATGGCAAGCCTTGTACGCTGCAGCTAGCGCACCTTTGACCACAAAAACGCAACATTTCGCTTCCTTGGGCCTTCGACTACTGCTTCTGATGGTGCATGTATTTCCACGCCGCACAAGCACTTTATCGTAATCTCTCGCTTTAAGTGTTTTACGGCCGGTATTAATATTACTCAATGGTCAACCTAAATAATAGGATTTTATGAAGACTATATAAATGTGTTATTATTATCATTATATCCTTAATGAATCCTGGTCGTCAAGGGAGTTGAATTGAATGCAAATGAAGACCAAGTTTTTCTCTGTGCATGAAGTTCATTGTGCCGTAATCATCTTACACCTACACTCTTCATCATCCGTCATTCCCATGTTTCGCATTCTGGTTCTTATGTGATTGAGCATCTCCTTTCGTCGTTCTCGAGCTGACTCCAGTTGTGACGCATCTAACGAGTGACACTTCTCTTCCATTTCAATGCGAAACCTAAGCATAATAGTTAAGAAAAAGTAAATTCAGCAGGCTAGCGAGGATAAATGGGTGAAATTACCGTTTTAGTGTCCATATTCTTTGTTCTGAATATTCCTAAAGGAATATTGGCGCCAGAGGAACACAATCTTTTGTATAGCTGCCCATATGTCTTAATCCACAGATCATCAGAAGTGACAACTACCTGGAAATACTTGCGTTTGATATCAACTGGCATCTCCACCTTCCTAAAAGTCTTGCTAGGCCAAAAAGGGATCACATTCTAAGAGGGGAGCAGCAAGTAGAATGGCAGTTTCAAATCAAAAGCCAAGGGGGTCAAACTTCTGATGACCCAACGGAAAATGAATCAAAAGAATAGAGGATGCATGGAGCGCCATCTCGAAAATATTGAAAAGTTCACAGTCCGTAAAAACAGCGAAATATCGAGCCTATTGAGTCAGGAATAACCTCAGCAAAAGCAGATTTCTATCGCACTATCGTACAGTAGCCGTTGAAGGACAGGTTCTACCGCAACAAAAGGGCCTAGCTACACGGATGGCAGCAGGAAGGGGGATTTTAATACGAAAGTCACTCAATCACTCACAAAAACCCTTGAATGAAATCGAGTTCTCCAGTAAGAAAGATTCTCGAAAATTGTCACTTTGTTGAAATTTCTTTCAACAGGGTGGAAGGTTGGTAGTCTTGGTGTGATCGATACTAGCACCGGGCTTCTCTTCGGAGGGACCCCGGGACTGGCACCACCAAAGTCAGCCCCATAATGCCTCACCTGGCGCACACATCCAATCCCAACCCTCTCTTTCCCCCCGCCCCCACCACACCAGACATGCCCCCCCCACCCCCCCCCCCGCCTACTCACACGACCACCAGCCCCCCCCCCCCACCCCCCCCCCCCCCCCCCCCCCCCCCCCCCCCCCCCCCCCCCCCCCCCCCCCCCCCCCCCCCCCCCCCCCCCCCCCCCCCCCCCCCCCCCCCCCCCCCCCCCCCCCCCCCCCCCCCCCCCCCCCCCCCCCCCCCCCCCCCCCCCCCCCCCCCCCCCCCCCCCCCCCCCCCCCCCCCCCCCCCCCCCCCCCCCCCCCCCCCCCCCCCCCCCCCCCCCCCCCCCCCCCCCCCCCCCCCCCCCCCCCCCCCCCCCCCCCCCCCCCCCCCCCCCCCCCCCCCCCCCCCCCCCCCCCCCCCCCCACCCAGTGACGTAAACGTGTCCGGCCTGAAGCTGCAACCTAATTTCTTCAATCGGTTAAGCGGTGAATAGCTTCCCAGAGACACTAGCTGTGACTGTGCAAGACCGCTTTTGACCAGCGTTTCAGGGACGTCGTAATGGTCTATGGTACCTCGACGACCTCGTTGAGCTCGTACCGTGAACCATGTTTCCGTGGGAAAATCTTCTGATGTCGTCAGTGTAGAAGGCTGTCATGTAACCTTTTGATAGACTTGAATGTGCTCTTTAATATGCAATTGGGCTCATTTGATTTGGTTTCGCAGTTCGAGATTAATTGCGTTTTGAATGTGGAGAGAAGTGACTCTTTTTTTGCCCCCCCCCCCCCCCCCCTTGTATATTAGGAAAATATTCATGTCGCCGCACAACAGACAATACTAGCAGTTATATGACAACAATAGCGCGACTTGACGCAATAGGTCGTAACAGCTCATTACCATGAAAAAGATGCCTTTCCTAAACTCTGCACCTTGGCCAATGAGCTTGAGTGACTTCAGCCAAAAGAGAGTTGCATGAACAGAAAATATATGTTCGCGCATAAAAACCTTCTTCGCATCTCAATAAGACCAGTCGACCTCCCGTTTAGATCCATTGAATTCGAGCAAAACGGTGGAATAGTGAGTGATTCTCTCTCTATTTTGTCCTAGCCTCCACTGCGATCTCTGCGGCGCGCGTAGGACCTTTGTCCTTGAGCAATTTATGCAGTACTGTTCTCCCCTTCCGATCTGTCTACGTCAGGATATAGTTAGCGATAGGCCTTTGCGGCCACCCACGAAGTTATTACGATCGGCTTTCGGCCACCCACGAATATTTCACGTTGGCTGGCAGAAATCCGCATCAGCCACCTCCTTTGAGACGTCGCTGTCCAGCGCTTGGGTTTATCATAGTCGATCTTTTCCGTCTTCTCCTTCGAAACTGCCGGGATCATCTGCAGCACTCAATTCCCGAAATATTTTCTCAAGAAGCGATGCACAATGACAGGTGGCCTTTACTAGCCATCTTGCCCTGCTTGGAATCAATGAGCGGTGAGACGTGAAGGGCCTTGTTGCCACTCATTTTTTCATTTAGGAATTTGATGATTGAAAAAATCTCATTATCTTTTTTTGAATGAATTGGTGCTACAGTCTGTGATCCTTCGAAAAATTCACAAGGGTGCAATTATTATAGATGGATCACTACTGATAACAGAGGAAATAAATTGAATCCACACTAAAAATTCCTCAACCTATGTATCTGCATGACAGTAATGTGAAAAGTAATCGCCTCAACTTATGGGTCATGTTCGTGACGTCGGCAAAGGGGTTGTCACTCTTTTAAAGGGAAAATAGCTCTTTGGATTATTTTTGTGGCATTCCAATGTAAACTAAGCTGAGCTAAGCGGGAAGTTCTTGGTAAGATAAAAGAAAAATGCGATACCGAGGAAAGGTAGCCACTTCCGGAAGATTGATCGATCCCAAGTAGTAGTCTCGTTAGCGTTACGACGTACGGCTTGATTATGGCCTTAAAATTGGGAAATCGAAGCGTATTCGAAACGATTCACATCACTGTATACTGTACGAATTGTCACCTGATAAAGTAACCTATCCAACATGTTGGCGCTAAACACTCCACCTTGCGCAAATGGAAGGCGAAACATGTAAGGCATGTGTGACCCTCGTTTCTTCTCATACTGAAATCAACGCACTGATTGTAAATAAACGCAAAATTCTCAAAAAGAATAGAAAGCAATTAAAGCATCAGTACATCTCGGAAAAGAAAAAGAAATGTTAAGATTCTGTAAAACTTCATAGCTTCTCCCGATCGTATCACAGACATTCAACAGTGCTGCTCAGTTAAAGGCATAGGTCGGAATCAGGCCCAATCAGCCCCATCCCTTGCATCACGTCCGTGCGTGGTGGCACTCCTCACAGAGATGGCAAGAGGCTCGTAATTCGAAACAGAACGGTAATAAGTCCCTCGGGAAAGTATTGCTAGCATCGCCGCCTGACGCTAACTATGACCGCCCTTCGCGGGATAGATGCGCTAATGACATAGGGCGTGAAATCAACTGGGTTGATTGCCGGGTTTGGGTTCTGGTTGATCAATTGGTTCGGAGCCAGCAATGCTGGCAAACCCGGAAACTGCTATGCTCGCTCTCTTCACTACTGTTGGAGAAGCAATTCTATGTACTTTCAAGACCAACATGAAGCAATATGTGCGGGCATCCCACTCTGCTTCATGCACTATCCACACATCATTCGTGCTTTTCATATGTGAGAAAAGTGGCATGGAGGCCGCCCTGAACTGCTGGCCTGTCTACAAGTTTTATGCACATATCCCGGTATGTGCTACATTAACATATTGTCGTCTACTCAATAGTGCCGTCTCTGTTCTCTCCATAACTTGCTGTAACGACTCGATCAAATCCTATCGTAAATTTGTACACGATTCATCACAAAGTCGACCATATATAGTTGTTGAGTGTTATTGAAGAATCCATAAAACTTCACATTTGAGGTTCCAAAGTCAAGCAGCGAGTATAAGTATAGTATTGACTAAGAGTTGGAATAGACTCTAGAACGACAAAACAATAGAACCGCAATAACGAACATATACGCTTGACGATCTTGAAATAGACGATATTGCAAGGAGGACAGGAGAGAAGATCAGCGCAATGTTGGCTCAGTCTCTGTCTACTGATTGTGTATGAACTGGGCAGCACTAGGGCAAGTGTACGATAAGCTGGAGTTCAATGAAATTGGACTTCTCCTGGCTTCACACTCACTATTCGATAGCCCATTGTGTCATAATTGGAAAATGCATCCGGAACTAATGTCAGGAATTGGTGAACAGCTGAACATCAGCTGATGTACATTAGCACCCGGATTCTTATTGCGCTTTTCTGAGTTCAGGAAGTTTTGGGGCCGATTACCATGGAAAATCGATATCTCAGAAATTCTTTTTGCTCATTAATACTGCGAAACATGTTGCTTATTTTTCCTGTTGTTGCGTCATAATTTAACTTTCCACCAATTTTTATAGTTCATTTTGATCCTGGGTCCAGTGTGCAAATTCGCATGTGTACCAAATGCTTCAAATTCTTTCTGAGAGCTACAAATCGAACCAACATTGCATTTTTGGAGGGAATACTAACCATTAAAATGCTAGTTATTTTTTCACAGTTTTCTCAAAAGACAGTGAAGTCTTTGAAGTGATGCCCGCAATCGTCGTTCAAAAAGGTGGCCCTAGTTAAATCGGGACGGGGCCGCAGCAGTCTTGTGCTGAAATGGTAGGACACCTTAGCAGTGACTGATCGATGATGCACAAACCCTTTAAAATTACGAAGTTTATTGGATAAATTCGAATAAAATGTGCTCATTTGCTTTTCGAAAAGGGTGCGCTTTTGACCCCTATGTGACAAAAAAGACTCCGGGAAAAATTGTCCAGTTGAGCTGGTAAGTTTTAACTTTTCCACCATACAGTGCAGACCCTACTCTAACTAACTGTATACTTCTTTTGTCCAGGCCTAACTTTTTAGCAAGTGAGAGGGATGATTTGTCAGATGATGTCAAAACCGACCTACCTCTCTTTTTCGACTCAAAAAATTCCTAGCTTTAATCGTACGAGGTTTCCACTCATACTGGTAAATGGGAAAGTGCTAATGAGTCATTCGATGAATATGCTGTTTCACTCCCCGGATTCTGAATTAAAATATTGGTGGTCCGAAACTCGTGGTGAAAAAACGACACTAAGATATCCGGTACCTAATAGTACCATCGCTAGCCTACGAATGGAATGGGGCTGCAACGGAATGAAGCTATGTGCTAATAATGAATAATTAAAGACATAGGAAATCTTCCTGTTTGAGCCCAGTTTCCCAGCTTCCCTGTGACAAACCATTCCTGGGGTATTTTGAAACAGTAGCCTTGCAGGTTCCTTCCTTTTCACATAGTTCATCAGCTCGACTATACTGTAAACAAGTGTGCTCTCACCTTTTCAAACTTGGACTGTGCCAACGAATAAGGATTGTTTGCGCTGAATTGCACGAAACGCATATTACTCGTATGCGTGAGTTCTGTGATCATTCGTAATTGTGGAAACATCCTGCAACTAGTGGTATTAACCTCTTTTTAATGCATAGATTGCGTTATAGCTCTCGAGTGAATAATTTGGATTGTGATTTCAAACATGTATATTGTTCTTCACACAATTTTCTCACTTCGACCAGAAGACCAACAACAGCAAGATGGTGGCGTTTGATGTGATTTTTTTTTGGTTTGGTGTGACAACAACTTGGTTAGCTCCTAGGTGATCCACTAGGATCGTGAGTTCAATGAACAATGAATCTATTATATCACAACTCACTACCCAAAATTGCGCATAGTCCAACCAACCATTACAGGGGTGTTCCGCGCTGTCACAGCTCTGTAGGGTGTGTAGTGAAATGTGGTATATGTATTTGCTTGGTATTGCAACGTAGTTTGCAGGATTTGTTGTTTGTTCAATATAAAGTTCGTTGATCCAAGCTCGACGTCATCCTCCTAAGCCGATGTCAGACTGCGAATCCAGCGATTCGCTAGCGAATCGCGGGATATGAGAGTTGCGTCAGCGAATCGAGCTGTGCTCCAGCGATTCGAACGTGTACCAGCGACTCGACACTTTTGAAGATTCAATTTGAAAATTGACTCTCGCCATTTCCCGGAGCTCGCGAGGGCATGAGAGAGTGAGAGGGCATGAGAGCTCAAGAAAGTAGTGAGAATCAACGTGCAAACGAGAGGGAGTATCGCCACTTCCAAACAAAGTCTAGTCGCTTTATACACATCCCGCTTCGTGATTCCGCGCACACTAGTTCAAGGTCCGCGTACACAGCTCGATCGCTGGGTGCAACTCTCGTACTCTGCGATTCGCAGCAAATGCGTCTTGGCTTCAAAAGTCTACATCCGCCTACGGACCCTTCAGTTCCCTGCTTGTTCTATCGACGGCCATGAAAATAAAACCTCTAGTTGCGCCGGTGGTGGCACCTCCTTCTCCTCCTCAATACTTGAGAACACGAAAGAAGCGATCATACACGTCATGACCATTTCAAATATTTCTGTCAGCTGCGCGTGAATGTGAATTAATGAGATGCTTTCCACAGTTTCCGCCCTGCAATACCGTCCAACGAAAACGGTCCGACCAGCAAGCAACCTGGACTACTTCGATCCAGACCCTATGCGGGTGGAGGAACTCCCAGGCGGTATAACTGTGCCAGAAAAGTGGAATCGATGAGGGAAAGTGTGAGGAATTTCGACAATCCACCAGTCTTTTATCAAAAAAGTACTCTCGATGATCGTTACTTATTACCTACTCCGCTCCAATGTTTGGACTAGCTCCACAAAGTGTCGCCCGTTACCTATCCGCCGCGATCCCATGCATCTGGAGCGCAGAGGCCCGTCATCACCAACATCCGCTCGCGCGCCGACAACTCGTCCATATCACTTAACTACTAGGGCTTAGAACTGACTCCGTCTGATAATTAGTCTCACCAAAATCTCGTTGAGCCCCAAAGATGCTAAAACCAGCGGATCGCTTCGTCTTGCGCTGAATGCCAAGCAGGAATCAAACAAATCGTGCGCGACGAGTTGTTCGGCCACAGCAGGGTGACAATTTGCGACCGTGCGACTCAACATGCCAAATGTGTCCGCGCAATACCGGCTTCCCGCTCAAAAGTGCCTCCCGTCATAACGAAGATGCAATCGTATTTCCCTGCCCTCCCAACTGGTTCAGCGGCATGAGCCGATTTCTGTAGTTGTTCTGATCGTAGCCATCTCTTTGCTTAACGGAAGGCCCCCCCACAAAAATGTGTGTTGAGAGGGTTTAGCGCTGCAATACCTGTGAAATTTTGTTGCAACCTTATGCTGGTACTGCAGTCAGCAAGATGTTCTTCGGCCAATGATGCAAACTCCTTAACAACAACGACATGCTCCGCATTGCTGACGCCAGCTCGGAGAAGGTTATCAATTCTGTAACAGTAAGAATGAAAATTTTTGCCTCAGTCAGGGGCCGAAAACGTCAAAATGCCCACATTGAAATCTTTCCTTGCATCCAAAATATAAGTGGAAAGTATGAGATAGCGTCTAGGAAACTCGGATTGGGGCTTGACGTTTCTTCCAATTCAAGTAGCAGAACTATAGGATGAAGTTTGTGGACTTGGCGATAATAAGCTGTAAAACAATTGGTATTAATCAATTTCCGTTACACGTCGATTCAGTAAATGTAGTCATAGCTATCATCACAAACTACTATGTAATATCAATTACAAAACCTATCTCAGAGGTATAAGAAGATTGTACATCCCACTGCTGGTTCTGTCTGCCGCCAGAATAATAGGTTTATTCGTCCATCCATATTCGTGAGCAGAAGTGTAAGGGCAATGTTCGCATGGCTACAAATTTTGTACTGATAATTATAAAAATCTTATCAGTCCGTTGTAAATCGTGACAAAACACCCTGTATCCCGCGTTTCAACTCTCAGCACCTTCAATAACATAGTTTTCTTGTAAGGAGATTTGAAGGTGAGAGCAACTATGAAGAGAAATCACACGGAGTAAAAAGCTTCGAAATACGCTGTAAAATAGAGCAGTCCTACGAAACTATGAGATTATAGTATCCTGAAATTGCATTTGCTTTTCATTGAACAGCATCCCGTGCAAGAAAATCCCCTCGAAAGTGGACCTGGAGACCTCTAGATGATTGAAAGGCAAGCTTTGTGATAAAGGAGGTGTAGAAGCGCGTTCACTAATAAAGCCTGGGGTGGGGAGTGGTCTGGAAAAGAAGAATAAAGCAAGAGAAACCCCCGATTACGAATAAGGACCTCCTCTATTTCAGCCGCATTCCACCTTGGGATAGAGAAGGGCGTGTTGGACGAGTTTCACGAACCTAGCTCCAGTTGCTCCAGTGCCAATGACATTGAACCGCAATGGGACCGCTGCCTCAAATGCGCCCGCGCTTTTCAAGCAGCGTCACGTGGCAACCGACAGCGGAAGGCGGGGCTTGCGGACGAAGGAGTGGATTGCGGGTCCGAGCTCCTAGCGCCTTTTCAAGCATTTCAAGCAGCACCTCGTGCACCTACAACTGTAGGTATGGAACACAGGTGAGCG